TGCCTTAAATTAACAGCTCGCAATAAAGATCTGAGATGTGATGAATATATAGAAATATATTTTCCATCTTTTTATTTTTTTCTTTTTGTGAATTTTCTTCTAGTTTTGCTGGGAGATCTTTTTTCTCTTCATCTATTTTTTGGCAACGAGTTAAAAAGGATTATCTTATCTCCTTTTCGGCAACAGGGAGGATCATCGATCAAAACAACAAAAAGAAAAAAGAGAAGAAAAAACTGAAGAAAAAAGAACGTGGTGGTTTGTTATGGTGGTCAGGTCATTGTGGCTGACAACCGGAGGCCGCGGGGGTCATGCCGTGGTGGCTATGACGGTCGCTGGATTGGTCAGATGTGGGCCGGAGGAGAGCTCGCGACTGAAAAAATGAATTGATTTCTGAAATTTGGATTTGTGGTCCAATGTCATTTCTGTATATATTCTGTATATATTGACAAAAATTGATTTATCTTTTGTATATTTGTTGTGTATTTTATTTATGTCCTCAGTATATAATTAGTATATCTTCTATATATAAGTTTAATTGTGTATTTTGTATGTATTAAACCCAGAAATATACTATAAATATACAGAAAAAAAAACACGAGATGTAAATAACAAAAAAATAAACAAAAAAAAATTCGAAAATAAAAATCTAGGTTTATTCGTATATTTTTTGAACTTATATGTATATGTTCTGTATATATTCTGTATAAATACAATATATACTGGAAAAAATAAATAACACATTAAAAAACCGAATTAAGGTACTATATTTTTTATTGTGTCCAAAAATAATTAAGGGACGGTTAGTAGGGTATAACAACATCCTAATTAGTAGGTATACAAACTTACCATATTTTTATTTTTATTTTTTTTCTTAGTGCAAATCCTATACTCTTATCCATGCGCAACAAATACTATCTTTATTTGGTAATTGATATAATAACTGATATTTCATGGTAAAGATGCAAATAAAATCTCACCTCTTGTACACGTGCAAATACTTTAAAATCAGTAACGTGTAAGTGCAAATTACCTTTTTTTTTAACTCATATTATACAGTAATACTAGGCCCAAACACAACAACATTTATGGATTGGTCTTTAGATATATTCTTACTAGTTGGTCGGATGATTGTGCATGCACAGTCGGCTCTAGTCTAGTTTATAATTATAACCAATATTTGTTATTATTTAAAAATAGATATACCCATTTTTCTGGCAAGTATAAATGTAAGAAAAAAAATACATACAAGCGGCTCAAACTGAGTTTGTTCAGTTCATATTTTCGCGTCAAATTCGGTCATATTTTTACAGCGGACTAAAATTCGGTCTAAAAATACACTGAAAATTTGTCATCACAATCATATTTTCGTGTTTTTTGCAGTTGTTGACATATATTATATCTGTTTAGTTCACATTGTCTGAAGATCATTTCTTATATTATTGTCATTCTTCGTCACTTATTTTCAAACAAGTGTTAAACGTCATTGATTAAACACTAAACACGCACATCCCAAATAAAATAATTTACAATCTTTCACTATATAAATTAAGAACCACATGAATGTTCCAAGTGTAACACCTCATATAACTGTTATATGTTTTTACGGCAACATAAGATTCAATGACACAAGTCAATCACCAAACTTGCGAAAATCCAAAAAATCAAATGTGTAGTAGCAATAATTAAGCTTATCCAAAGAAAACATCATAATTCACAATGTACATTTATGAGAAAAATGGCCAATTCAACAAATTAATCTAAAACATGTAAGCAGTGTGTAAGTAGGAGGCAATTCTAATACATATGATATACCATCTATTCAATAAGGTTGTGCTTTATTCTTTAGTGGCCCGAGGAAAAAAAAGTGAGAAACTAATTTTATTCTTTAGGTATCTCCCACAACAAAAATTCTGTGGAACAATCGAATTGTTTTCTTATAGAGTCATCCATTGCTTAATATATTGACACTCGTCTAAATTGTATTTATTGTAAGACACGTGTCAATATACTATTGGTGAATAAGTGTGCGGGATCCTACGTTGGAAATGGTCGGGATAGCTCAGCTGGTAGAGCAGAG